ATGCTCATTACTTTAAGGCAATGGAAAAGTTTTTTTTTGTCATACTTGAATGCACTAAACAAATATTACTGACTTCATTAAAAGGCACTCCAATTGAATACATAGTAATTGTAAGTACGAGAACACCTGTTAATCAATTATCTAATCGATGCGATATTTCCGCGCGTGGGTGTAAATGGAAAATGTTTGCTAATACCTAAATAAGAGCTCAGACAGTCTCGTCCGGCCATTAGCGTTAAAAGCTTTATTGATTTCGCAAACGCACCCAACACGAAGGGGGCCGAATGGACGACGCCGCGACGCTGGGAACGGAAGGTAATTCCGCAGGGTTGGACGAGACGACAGAAACTTCGTTTGTGACATTATTTTATACAACAATCTCTCTTCTTCACCTTATCCCACTAGGTGGTGTCGGCACAGCTAATTTTTCTCTTCCATTCTCTTCTATCAGCCGTCATCTCAACACTCACTCCTCTCTCTCCCATATCGTGATTCACACACTCCAGTCATGTCTTCTTCGGTCCACCTCTTCCCCCTCTACTATGCACTACCATCTCCATACATCTTCTCTCTACGCATCACATGTCCATACCACGCTAATACAACAATCTGTTGTCATGAAAAATTTTAAAATCAAAAACTATTACGTATATATATATGTCGTGGATAACGACTTTTAGTTGTCGTGGATAACGACTTTTAGTAAAAGACGGTGGTTTTGATTATTATTTTAAATGATGAGATGTTGTTTTGATAAATATCACAAAATGAAGGGTAGACTACGTAACGCCACAGTATAAAATGGCGGTACGTGGACAGAGTCGTGGCATTCCGTGTCAGACAGTCATTCCNAAACCTAACCTAACCAAAACCTAACCTAACCAAAACCTAACCTAACCAAAACCTAACCTAACCAAAACCTAACCTAACCAAAACCTAACCTAACCAAAACCTAACCTAACCAAAACCTAACCTAACCAAAACCTAACCTAACCAAAACCTAACCTAACCAAAACCTAACCTAACCAAAACCTAACCTAACCAAAACCTAACCTAACCAAAACCTAACCTAACCAAAACCTAACCTAACCAAAACCTAACCTAACCAAAACCTAACCTAACCAAAACCTAACCTAACCAAAACCTAGGCCTATCAAAGGCGGTTTGAAGGCTCTGCAACACCGATCGAAGGACAACAGGGCGAAGCAGCTGCAATGGAGTTAGCACCGGGTACATCTGATGCTTCTCCCGCTCCTTACCTTGCTGCCGTAATCGCGTTTCTGCAAGAGCAGGCTCGTCGTTAGGAAGAGGAGCTGGTTCGCACGCTGGAGGAAGAGTTCCGTCGCCAAGAAGAACAGACTCGTCCCCAGGAGGAAGAACTGGTTCGTAGGTTGGAATAACAGATGCTTCTAATAAAAGATTTAAAGGAGACATTTGGCAAAGACTTGACGGAGATGAAAGAGCAGGTGCAACAGCACGGGGACCATATTTCTCAACGCGAAAGCCGGATTGCCAAAATTGAGGTTAAGGTAGGTCATGTGAGGAAGACCCTAGAAGACTTCAGCTTCAGTTACTGGTGTCCCTTCGATGCGGAGGTTCAAAGTTTCGCCATTTGTTGGAACAACCTCGTGGTCGGCCTATAGGATCCAATTTGAGGCGGTTATGAAAGCAAACGACTAGAGCAAGTCACAGGCCATGACGGCGCTTACTTTGGGACTCCGGGGCTTTGACCATCCTGGAAGCCTTGGGAAAGGATTCAACCTATGAGCAGCTCATCGAACCGTTGGAGTCCAGATATGGAGACGCGCATCTGGAACACGTGTTTCGTGCCCAGTTGAAGGAACGAGTGCAGCGCGGTAACGAGAACCTCAAGCAGTAGGCTCTCGAGGTTGATAAGTTAGTCCGCAAGGCATATCCAAAGCCAACAAAAATTGTTCGTTCACGGAGTGTTGCAAAAAAAATGGTGGCCACGTTTGTCTCCAAAACCGGCCATGTTACGACTATTCCTCTTGAGGGACAAAGAACGGTTAATGCAGAATGATATGCTAGCATTTGTTTGCCACAGGTCGTTTCTGAACTCCGTAAAGAGAACTGCAACCACCGCATTATCCTCCATCACGACAATGCGAGTTCTCACACCGCGCACAGAACAAAAGAGTTTTAGAGCAAGAAAACATAGAATTATTAGACCATCCGCCTTACAGCCCCGACCTAAGCCCTAATGATTTCTATACTTTCCCTAAAATAAAGAATAAATTGCGTGGACAGAGATTTTCATCACCTGAAGAAGCTGTGGAGGCCTACAAAACGGCCATTTTGGAGACCCCAACTTCCGAATGGAATGGTTGCTTCAATGATTGGTTCCATCGTATGGAAAAATATGTCAAATTTCGTGGAGAATACTTCGAAAAGCAATAAATACATTTTTAAATAGTAATGTTGTGTCACTTCGTTAATTCCCGAAATTTTCAGTGCCGCCCTCGTAACTGTTTCACTAGTAACTGACAACAGTTTACTAGTAGCTGGTTCACTGGTAGCTGATTCACTGGTGGTTCTCTGATGCAAGTTTCGTAGAGAGTTACCTTATTACGGAGGGACAGTTTGCTTCGTCTACAAAGCATAGAGTAGAGTCGTCCTAGTATAAAGGCGGCACGGTCGCGTAACGTTTTAATGTGGGGAAGGAATGTCATCCCTCTGTCGAAGGTGACGCCTAGGTATTTGACCTTCGAGGCCCAGGGTATGGACTGGCCAAAGAGAGTGATGGGGTGACTTTTGCCCATAAATGACCCTCCTTTTGTATTTATTTCAGTACCCCATCTCGCGGCGCGATATCGTCACGCCAGTTTCGGAGGGTCCTGTGATCTGTATGTTACCGTACCGAGAGCGCTCCACAATCGTTCCTATTGGTCTGTTTACATTCCCTGATCTGATACACTAACATATAGCTTATAAAATAATTTAAGATTATATATTTGTTTACGTAATCACTTATTAACTATTATATTAAATCTATTTGCTTCTATTAAAAAACCTATTTCGTCCTGCACAGTGGTGATGGATTATTTCACCAAGTGGCTCGAAGTCTTCGCCATTCCTAATCAAGAAGCCTCGACGATCGCCGATAAATTAGTACAAGAAGTATTCTGTCGGTTTGGAGTACCCCTAGAAATACACAGTGACCAGGGAAGGAATTTCGAGTCCCAGGCATTTCAAGAGACTTGCAGAGTCTTAGGTATCCACAAAACTAGAACCACATCTTATCACCCGCAATCCGATGGAATGGTAGAACGTTTTACTCAAATATTGGAGAAATATCTGGCGAAAGTTGTGGAGAATAGGTAAAAGGATTGGGATAAACACATCCAACCGCTCCTTCTATCGTACCACAGTGCAGTTCATGAGAGTACGACTGTGACGCCGGCATGTGATGTTCGTAAACATATTGAGGAATTTCCTAAAAAGTCGGACATACATAATAGAAATACTAGGAACAAACGCAAGCTTGTTGTGCAGAGGAGTAGGTTTCATAAGATACGAAACTCATTCGGGTGTTTGTCTGTGCGCCTGTACAACAAAATCCCACAAGATGTTCAGAACCTACATATACATAGGTTTAAGAAAACTATTAAAGAACATCTGTGCAATAAAGCTTACTATAAAGTCAATGATTATCTAGAAGATTGCACAAAGTGGGAATGAGTTGCTCGCTCCGGGCATTTCAATATTGTAANCGCCTGTACAACAAAATCCCACAAGATGTTCAGAACCTACATATACATAGGTTTAAGAAAACTATTAAAGAACATCTGTGCAATAAAGCTTACTATAAAGTCAATGATTATCTAGAAGATTGCACAAAGTGGGAATGAGTTGCTCGCTCCGGGCATTTCAATATTGTAATAATTGTTATGTTATAATTACTTATTGTAAAAATGAATATTTAAAAAAAACTAATACATATTTAAAAAAAAAAAAAAAAATTATACTTAAAAAAAAAAAAAAGTGCCCGCTGAGTTTCTTGCCAATTCTTCTCAGGACGGAGGCTAGTTTTTGTGAATTGGCGGTAGTTCTTTTGACGTTCAATAAGTATGTACTTTCATTTATGTTGAATAAAACTTTTTTGATTTGATTTGATTTGACAGAGTACGCGAACGATCTGCGCAGCAAGATGCAAGATGAACGAAGTGCATGAGCATGTCACAGTGAGGCCAACAAGCCGCTTCGAGGACGAAGACCCGCTACGACACGAGAGCAAATCATAAGGGATTCGCGGAGGGTTCCCTAGTGTGGCTACACAACCCAGTTCGAAGCAAAGGGAAGTCTCCTAAGTTACAGGCAAAATGGGACGGACAGTATAGGATTGTGACTAAAATTAATGACGTCACGTATCGAATTCAGAAAGGTCTGCGAGGTGTGCCTAAAGTTGTACACGTAGATCGATTGGCGAAATATTACGGGTCTAACGATGCTCGGGACGAGCATGTCTAAGGAGGGGGCAGTATTATGCCGGTAAGAGTAACGCCACCTATCGTCGAACGAATAGCAGGATCTAGTAGCACCTAGAACGCTTGAGAAGTACAACGCCATCTATTGTCAGATAGCGGAAACACAATACTAGAGATGTGTGGAATATTCTCGATAATTCTAAGGATGTGGTATCGGCTATAAAAGCGTTGCAGGAATGGCACATATTAGTCAGTGATTTAAGTGTTCTAAGTGTTGAATACAGTGTCAGCTTGTGATTCGGTAGAATTTTATTTATTCCGAACCCCAGCGTGTAGCAGTCCTTTGGATGTTTATTCACAACTTTGCTAAAATAAAAGGCAGCAGACAGTGCGCTTCATCCAAATATCAGCTCGCTATTGGACAGTGTACAGTGTCGTGATCTCACACGGGAACATCCGCTGGGCGCTCATCACACGGTGGGCACGCATCACATGGTGGGCGCTGAGAGATCTGTGTGCATGAGGGTCAGGTCGAAAGAAAATGAAAGAATATAATTATTTATTTATAACATTTAATTTTATGTGATTTTCTTTACATTCTCCCTAAAAGTCAACAATATTATAAAATCAAATAAATATGTAACATTCCATAATACATTTACCTTAAATAGATTTATCTTTTACAATTTTATACAATTAAAACAAAAAGAAAAAGAAAAAGGAAAATGCAGGATAAATGTCTTTGGACATGCCCTGATTATAGGCATTTATGTCGCCCGTGGACATCGACAAAGTGCAAAGTGCATGCGTGAGACATTACGACAGGCTGGTGTTTCCAGCGTTCCATATACTCTACTGAGGCGGTTGTGGCCTCAAGCTTCCTACTATTAGCTTCCATAAGCCTTCACACCGGTTGAGAGTTACCGCCGCTGGGACGCCGGAGGGACCCAACTCGCCGGTTCAGTCGGTGAAATAGGGTTCAAGTTTTTTTTTAATTGCTTAAATGGGTGGACGAGCTCATAGTCCACCTGGTGTGAAGTGGTTACTGAAGCCCATAGACATCTACAACGTAAATGCGCTACCCACCTTGAGATTAAGTTCTAAGGTCTCAAGTGCGTAAGAAATCTTTCACGGACAACACACAGATACCGCCACCGAAATAACAAATTTGTATTATCATTACAGCGACATCTATCGATAGAGGTAAGTAGTTGACACACACACGTGGCGCCATCTAGCGCCTGGGTCGCGTGAAACTGTGAGGGCTCACTCTATAATGTTAGTTAATTACATCTTAGTCTTTATCACATGTTCCCAACAATCGTTTAGGCTATTCAACAACAGAGTAAAGTATAGTTATCGGAAGCGGCGCCTACCGCTGGTACTGCTGCAGCTTCTCGCAGCTGGGCGTGCGCATGCGCTGCGCGTCGGCGTGCTGCTGCGCGTCCCCGAAGTTGCGCGCCTTCCACAGCAGGCTCTCGCGGTAGTTGCGCTCGCGCTGGCACGCGTGCCGCAGCGCCACCAGGTACTCCTCCTCGATGCTCATCTCCAGCCGCCGCAGCGAGCCCTGGTAGTCCGAGTGGAAGTTCTCCTTCACGTAGTACGGGACCTGCGCACAAGACGAGCCCACGGTGTATAGTGCTGCCGGTGTCTGAAGGAGACATCAGCTGTCTTCCTAACATCACAATGTTGCACTGTGACAGTGACTGTGTTTAGACACCAAGTACATGAACTAAATTCCTTGTATTGCTTGTGATCTTTTTTTAACCTATGCCCTACCTTAAGGGAACTTTTACCTTGAGGTTGTGCGTCTCGCGCGGTATGGGGTACTTGGGTCCGTGCTGCAGGCTGTAGACCGGCTCGCTGATGAAGAAGCCCGACATCATGGAGAGCAGGATGAGCACGAGCACGGGCAGCAGCTGCACCAGGCCGGCGGGGGACTCGCGCGGCTCCTCGCGGCGCCGCCGGTGCGACGGGTCCATGCCGCCGCGCGGGAACGCTGCCGACACATCACACGCAAGTGACTAGCAGAATGATCTACAACAACCCGAACACTGGACCGACTCTAACCTCCAGCAAAGAACATGTTGTAGAGCTCCTCCGCCGTGAAGTCGGACTCGAACCCGCGCGCGTAGTACTGGTGCGTGTGCGTGGCGGGCGCGGGCTCGTCGCCGCGGATGTCGTACTGCTTCCGCTTCTCCGGATCCGTCAGGATAGCAGCCGCATTGCCTATAGCCTGCTCCGTACCGTGCAATCATATCTTAGTAAAACAGGTACTTTATTTCATTATACACTAAAATAATACACAAGTTTACATCGAAGGGTGAATTAAAATTACGTCGGTAAGAGTAACGCCATCTATCGTCGAACAGTAGAAACAAATGTCAAAAGAACTGGTAATATCGAGAACGCTCAGGAGATGTAACGCCATCTATTATCAAATAGTGGAAAGGCATAACGAAACGACTGGTCTTGCCGGGAATGTTCTCGATAATTGTAAAAGTTAAAGATGTGTAGCTCCTGAATGAGTGATATAAAAAATATGCATCACTCACACCGATAGAATGTATCACTATCTCACACTAGCTCCGAATGTATCAGTAGCTCAGTTATAGCTCACTAGATCACTAGCTCATTTGTCTCATAACATGTATCGTAAATTGATGAGCGAATGAAAGGAAAATAATTGTTTAAAAAAAATTAACAAAATACGCTTTTATAAAAAATCCAATTAAAAAATAGAAAATAAATTTTAATAAATTTGAATATAATAGTTGGATTTTCTATAAAAGCGTATTTTGTTAGTTTAATAAACTATTATTTATTTTTCACTTTTTAGTTGAATTACAAATTTTTTTATTTTTTTCTTTGATATTGAATTTTCGTTAGTCCTTAATAAGTATACCAAATTTCGAGTTAATCAAACGTTTTGAAGGGGGTCAAAATCATGTTCAAAGATTCCGTTACAAACATACATACATCTGAAGCTAATAAAAGCGTATTAAAAATGAATGAGTGAGAGAGATGCATTGTGTGACCGGCTAATGAGAAATTTGAATGGGGTAAACTTAATTGAAGTTCAAATAAAACATTGAATTGTAAACACTAATACCAAATAAAACAGACCTTTAATTACAAAGGTAAATGTACCAGATTGAGCTTAGAGTATTGAGCGAAATATCATTAAAACTAAATAGCCTTTCACCTCTCAACATAGACGTAGTGTCTTCAGTGAATTGGAGGTGATAATTGCCCATCTGAATCTGACTACCTTCTGTGATATTATCTTGCGACATTACCAAGCTCAGCAAATAAATAAATAAAATGTTAGCTACAACAGGGGCCACATCAAATGTTTCCTGGTGTACAGTGTTTGTACCTTAAAAGCCTCAGCTGCTCCCGGGGCTCGGTTCTTGTCAGGATGAAGCTGCAAGGCGAGTTTCTTGTAAGCCTTCTTTATGTCAGAATCTGTAGCTTCCTTCGTAACACCTGTTCAACCATATGGTAGTAAGTAGTCATCACAGTCAACAAACAAACAACTTAATGTGTGGCATTTAGTATTCCAAGGTACATTACACCACTTATCATCAATAAATTAATTGTCTCTGCGAAAATCAGTATCACAATGTTGGCTCCATTGTTCAATTGTTCACTAGAGCACTTGTGGAACAATTCCTTTTTTAACTTGCTTAGCCTTGCGAAGATCACAATTTCAAACTTGCTACAAGCAATGCATTATTTGTAAATCAGAGAACGACTCATTCCTGACTGAAAACATAATAATAAAAACTTATTTTGGTTATTTAAATTGTGTTAAACAGCACAATCATTAAAAGTTGAACAGTTGAGTGTAGTGAGAAGCAGAAGATTTGCTCTTACATATTACTCTACTATTCATTTAAGTAGATTTATAGCATACATATGTACGTGCACTGATCAGTAGGTATTGTAATTTAAAAACTTACCCAAGATTTCGTAGTAATCCTTGCACTTGGTCTTGATCCTGCGCACCGCTTCGAGCTGCTCCGTGGTGTACTCGCGATGCTGAGGCTGGTGAGTAGGAGTCTTTCTCTTCCGAAGGTCGTCATTGTCACTAGATGAGGAAGTAGACTTCGAAGCAGTTCCCGATGCAGGCGTAGCACGGACACGAGTCAAAAGTTCCTTGGCACGAGTCGTTGGGTACAGACGCTCGGCTTTTAGCAGAAACCTCTCGGCCTTTTCAACATTCCCAGCTGTAAAGGCCAATTGGGCGATCTCTATACATTTCTCTGCCTCGTCCTTGTTACCTTCGATCGTCATTTTAGCGTTTTTCAAAAGCTTTATTAACTATAGTACTCTACAAGAAGCGAGATGCCTAGAAATCTAATTAACGTAAATGGATTTAGTTGAGTTTTAATTATTCACAACATCACACTCAATAGAATACGAACAACAATGACAGAGGTGTATTATCTATGAATGACAGTACCGTAAAATGGGGCGATTAGGGACAAATTCCAACTTTATGAGCAATTTTAAGGTAGTTGTTGATGTATATAATACTATATCAGGATCAAAATGATTGAGTCTTGGGGGCATCTTTGTTGTCTAATTTAAAATTATGCAACTAGCATTCCAGTTTAAGCAAAAAATGCAAAAATATGTGTAATCCCTATTTACCCGAAAATTGCGGTTAATTGGGACGAAATGAGAAATTTGCTAGGGTTGGCACTACTTTTATTTTTATATATAGTTTTAATTTATTTATTTATTTAGTTGCACCAACAAAGTGATCATCAATAAAAAAAATTGAAAAACTGACAAAAGTACATGGCAGACATCACCTCAATTATAGGTGCAATCGACAGTGCAGTAACAACAATATATATATATTATATTTATATATATTATATATTATATATTTATACATACATATATAGTGGGCTTTCTTAGAAACGGTTTATATTTCTCCGTTCTTGGTAAGTACTTAGGGGCTGATATTTCTATCTGGGTTAAGAGATTAGGTGTGTCAGTTATTCCATGGATTAATCAGATGAATACCCCCACTCTGAACAAAAATTAAATATTTTATTATGTATTACTTAGACATTTTTGTCCACCTTGAGATTTCATTGATCTTGTTACATGTCTCTGCAAAATCGACTTACTTATATTAAATTGCTTATCTATTTCAAATAAAGACTTATTCTCAATTTCTCTTCGATAAACCAGATTTTTACCAACAAATTTAAAAAATATTGTTATAACTACATAGACAACCCTACAAACCTGTACCTATTTATACTTAGGTCGTTTCCATTTCAAGGAATTTCATCCCAATTGACCCCTTTTTCGTTGTTATTTGTACCTAACACGTCCCCAATATCCCCAAAAACAACAGATTTTTACATGTATTTTTATTTAATCAAATACATTAAAACCAATAACAACTGAGACTTACCTTTAATATATATGTTGGTTCAAACACTAAATAACGTTTATAAATCATAGTCGTCTTCTATTATTATTAAATAAATAAAAGAGAGCAAAGTTTCTAGCACTAAAATAATTACCACCACAGGAAGTTAATTTCAAACGCGATTTTTTATAAGTTAGCAGCTATTATCATGCATATTCAGAGTTGTTTTGTGAACTTTCAACATTCTACTTTTAAACTACAAAAAAATGGAAGATTTTGCAACGAATATAAAACTTATATTGAGCGTCGAAAGATTTTCCCGGTTTTGTCCCGATTCGCCTTTCAATCCCTAATCGCCCCATTTTACCGGTATTGCGTCAAATTTTACAGATGACTTTTTTTAATAACATCGCTCTGTCACCTGTCTTTTTAGCCCACTTATATATCGTTTTCGTTTGTTTTTTTGGTGGTACCTAATTGCTAAGGGCTATTCCAGCTACTGCGGACGGGTAAGTGAGCTCTTGGGCTCAACTTGAGAGAATTTGCTAACACTGGACCTAGCAAGAGCAGTGCTTCGCAGAACCTACGGCCGTATAGGAGAAGAATCTGAGAAGATCCGGCGAGAAACTCGAGTTATCAGTATCAATTTGTTATTTGAATGAACCTGAATTTTAATACGTCTGTAAATAGTAGTGCTTAGTCACAAATACCGAATAAATCATCTTAATCTGATCATCTGATCAGATCTGATCAATCATCTGATCTTCGTCGAAAAATTAGAGTTAACTAGAGGGAAAAAAAGACGATTATCAATACCACTACAAATATAGTGTTGCCTCTCATCATCATCATCATCATTCTTTCCTATTACCCTCTGCTGGGGTGTAGGGCTCGAATCAAATTTTTCCATTTATAGTGTTGCCTCTACCCATTGATAAAATTGTAACAATGCTAAATACAAATAATAGTAGTAAATTTTCAGATTTCATTTTCCTGTTATAATAATGGTCCATGAGAATAAATAAATAGGAGTTTAAGCTTACGTTGGACCGTCGAGGCGATTGGACCGTCGAGGCGATTCGCCCGGTTCTTGTGAACTGGGTGAATCGTGACAGAGGACGCCTCACTTTCCGGCTCACGCAGGTGCTCACTGGGCATGGTTGCTTCGGTGAGTTCCTGCACCGGATCGGAGCCGAGCCGACGGCAGAGTGCCACCATTGTGGTTGCGACTTGGACACGGCGGAGCACACGCTCGTTGCCTGCCCCGCATGGGAGGGGTGGCGCCGTGTCCTCGTCGCAAAAATAGGAAACGACTTGTCGTTGCCGAGTGTTGTGGCATCGATGCTCGGTGACGACGAGTCGTGGAAGGCGATGCTCGACTTCTGCGAGTGCACCATCTCGCAGAAGGAGGCGGCGGGGCGCGTGAGAGACGCACAGGCCCGCCGCCGTCGAGCGGGGGCCAGGGAGGCGGATCTCGCCCAAGCCCTGGCCCTCTAAGTGTTTCGGGTCNATATAATTCAGAATGACACCGCACATCAAAAGTAAAAAGAACATATTACAAATTCAAATATAGTGCATCATAGACAATTATACGTGGACAGCATCACGACCTTCCAACAAACTAGAGGGAAAAAAAGACGATTATCAATACCACTACAAATATAGTGTTGCCTCTCATCATCATCATCATTCTTTCCTATTACCCTCTGCTGGGGTGTAGGGCTCGAATGAAATTTTTCCATTTATAGTGTTGCCTCTACCCATTGATAAAATTGTAACAATGCTAAATACAAATAATAGTAGTAAATTTTCAGATTTCATTTTCCTGTTATAATAATGGTCCATGAGAATAAATAAATAGGAGTTTAAGCTTACGTAATTTGTTACTTTAAAATGATACAACTATATAATTTAAAAAACTCCGACCGGACACAAATATTATACATATTCATTAATTTTAACCGACCTCAATGAAGATTTTATCAAATATTTCTTTAATTTTTACATACCTCTAAAAAGTGCTTTCTGATTGAGACTTAAATTTAATTTCTCTCGTACTATAATTAGCATAAATGCCCCAGACATTTTGTTTGTAATTTTTTTTATATATATTTTCCTTCCGCCCTAATAGAGTGCGTTCTAGAAGTAGATTTGATCATTGATTACAAAGTCCGACGAGATTCTGACTTCTCTTTACACCTTCTCTGAAAAATCTTGATCCAAATACAAAACAATAGACTTAGCATATTTCTATATCCATCTCGCATACGCTTGTAGCTCTAGAGCAAGCTCTTATTCATTCGATTCAACACAAACATTTTCAATCAATTTCGTCATATGACGTATGACGCATTCTTGAATTGGCTGACAATCAATCGGTTTTGTAGGTACAATTCGTGAGTGTTACACGTTAGACACACCCGTTAGTAAGTTATTTGGACTCTTAGAGCCGTAATAAAGCACTGCAAGGCACGCCCAAACGTTTGAAACTCAAGGAAAAAGAATAAAAATGGCAGTACCGCCGATATACAACCCGGTAAGCGAATTAGACTTTCATCGAAATTAAGCCACATTGAATTTCTTTACAGGGCTTTCAGGGGCGTTATCAACACCGTGAAATGGCTATTTCCGGTCTGGATTGTGTTTATTAGTAAAATAAATATAGATCGTTTCCAAAATCATCAAAATAATGACATTGCCATACTTTTTTCAAGGCCTATTTTCCGCATTATCACACTAGCGCGAGCTGGGGTTTAGCAAAAAGTTATTTTTTTCTCTTTCATCGTTTACATTAGTCATTACACGTAATCGCGGATATTTGTCTCTTTAATTCTAGATTTTACCTCACTTGTGTGTAAATGTAACATATTTTTCAACAGTGATCCCAGAATAGCCTAATTGAGTGGTACAATCTATTGTAATTTGACAATTTATTAATTATGGAAACTGTTAGTGTTATCACTGGTGTTAGGTGCTGCTATCTGTAGCTTCTGGAGCTCTAAAATCTTATTTGTACGGTTACATAGCCATTGTTAGATGCTCTTAGGTAAAATAAAATTAAATGAAACGATTCAAGAATTCAGTATGTCAGAAATTTAACAGAATAACAAAATAAGCACAATGATCAGCTACAGCATAGCTGGGGTCAGTGGAGTCTGTACTCATTGCCTCTCTTGTTAGTGGAGACTTGAATATGTTGCTGCTATCCTTAATGTCAATGTTATCATTAGTCTGGATACAATAATGCAACAATCTGTGATAATTGAAGTCTCAATATTGTTTTTCAACTATGTCTGTAATAGCAGTCACAATAATATCATAGAAATACATAAGATTATCTGAATTTAATTTATTGCACCTTAATTATATTCTTCAGCCAATGTCTCATTTCATTTTAAGAAGCAGTGATTAATACAATGTCAGAGAGATGCTTGTGACAGATGTCTCCACTGAACTGTTTGTCGTCACTCAGCTCGATCCTGTGATGAGGCTCCTTATCTTTTGTAATGCAAATTACTAAACAATGAGGTCAATACTCATTCATTGATATTTATTCTCACGCAACCAATAACTATATCTTGTCACATATCTTTAAAGTATCTATTGATGTAATACTGGGTATGTAAGTACATGATGAGGAAACACATTGAAGTGAAACACTAATACAGGGCCTTGAATATTTATTGTGAGCAATTATGGGCTGGCGTAAGGCACTGGCCTTGTGGGGTCTCTTGTCCATGATGCTCTCAATATGAGGGTTCACTGGCCACATGCTGGCATAAGCTGGAACACTGAATAAGCACAGTTTAAATGAGGTTTTAAGAAAATTTATAGTAGTAAGTATCTGCTTGGCCCCAGGCATTGTGATGTCACTATTGTACAGTTGCTACAAGCCATCGGGTGAGTCACATGTTATAGAAGACAGTGATACAAAAAAATCTTTATAGTATTGTAACAATGCTTGTGCTAACCTTCAGAAATGTAGGACTGCTGCAGTAACATGCAGCTGGTTACTCCACACATCAGCTCACAACTTGCACTCTTTAACATAGGAATTGAGTGATGTAGGCATGCAGAGAATTGTGGTTGCCGCTCGAGGAATCTGGGGCAATGTACGGGGCCCTCTGACAGTACAATCATTTAATTAGCATCAAACACATGCCTTAATAAGACCATAACTGTACACTGACGGACAGCATATTGTTGCAGGTGATACCGTGCGTGCACCCCATCCCGGGCGGCATGTACCCGGGGCGCATGCTCCGCATCCAGGGCAGAGTGCCCCCCGGCGCACAGAGGTCAGTCGCTTCGTCGTCGACGACAAACTTTACCCTTCCTTTGACTGCAGCAAGAGTACTGAGTGTTCTTATAATGTAGAGGTTTAATATGTATGACTAGATAATGAAGCTTTGCTCGGTTTTTTTTGGTAAATTGTGTTTTTAGAAATTATATTTAAATACGAATTACATATTGATAAAATGGTGAAATATGATTAATATTTTTCTATCTTATCGACAGAATAATAAAAAAAATATGAACTGGTTATTTAAAGAAAAAAAACAAAATTATTGATTAAATTGATTATTGAAAACACGAATAAAACAATATTTTCTGAAAATAAATCTTAGCTAGATTGATTTATCGCTCCCGAAATCCCCTGTATACTAAATTTTATGAAAAGAGTTGGGAGCCGTTTCCGAGATTCAGATTATATTTACAAGAATTGCTCGTCTAAAGATATAATTTAAGATGCACGTTGTCATGTAGCGGATGTCGCGTTGCGTGTGCAGGTTCGCGATCAACCTGCAGTGCGGACCCAACACGGACCCGCGGGACGACATCGCGCTGCACCTCAACTTCCGCTTCGTGGAGATGTGCGTCGTGCGGAACCACCTCAGCAACATGAGCTGGGGCGCCGAGGAGACGGCGGGCGGGATGCCGCTGCACGCCAACGGGGAGACCTTCGAGGCGCTGGTGCTGTGCGAGCCGCGCGCCCTCAAGGTACGTCCCCGGACGCGCGGGGCGGTGTGTGTGCCGGACCCCCCGCTCCTGACGCGTAGAGCAGGGGGTCATGCAGCGTGCGTGTGTGTGTGCAGGTGGCGCTGAACGGCGTGCACTTCTGCGAGTTCCCGCACCGGCTGCAGTACCAGCGCATCTCGCACCTCACGGTGGACGGGGACGTGCTCGTGCAGTTCATCGGGTTCGAGGGCGCGCAGCCCCCGCCGCCGGCCAACATGTACATGGTGCGTCCCCAAACCCTGAGAGTTTGCGCACACTAATGCAATATTTAAAAACGTGTTGTTATAATTCGCAGTCGGAACCCCCCGTGTACGGCGGGTACGGCGCTCCGCCCCCCGCCTACGGAGCCCCGGGCTACGGTCCGCAGCAAGGTACATATAAAAACTTTAGTGCAAATGGTTGATTGCTTTATTAATAGAATACTAATATCGTTACAATACCTAATGACAGTTCAATATAAGCGAGGTAGTGGGGGGGGGAGGGGATGTCTCTGGGACTCCACCGCCGGCCGCGACTCTCTGTATATAGCTTCGCTTTAGCTCTCGAGTATTATTGATGTACAGACGGACTGTCTCGCTCTCGCGCGATACGTCCGTCCCTCTCGCACACAACTCCTCGGTCTGGTCTATACATAAGGCATGCGTTTTATATTTTATTATCTGCATGACAATAACACTAACAAATTGAGATGACAATAATGTTTGTGAAGCATATCGTTGTCTCTCTCTCGCTTCACTCGTTTTGAAGTGAGCGAAAGAGACGAACGTCGTTATGTTGGGTGTGTCTTTGAACGGGCTTCAGACGATCTTTTTGACGCGAGTGTAAATATTCTGACCGAACCAAGGTAAGTGTATATTTATTTATTTATATATATTTGGTGCTTGTGCGATCGGCTCACGCTTGGCTGTGACGTCACCGTGTGCGTCACGCACTGGTTGTTTGGTGTCGTGTGTGTCGGCGCCGCCCCGCCCTGGGTCGGGCCGTCTGTTGAAATGCTTATAACACATTAACTTGACTAACGCGTCGCTGTGTAGGGTCGCTGCAACTAGACTAGTGGAGTAGAGTGTAGAGTGTAGTGCAGTCACCGGTGCGACACTTGTAATGTTTGTTTCCCTTGCTCGCAGGGTTCTACTGAAGAGTCCGGTAGGGGCGCTCTCGACACCCGCTCCGAGGACTGCCCCCTGTCACACCCCCACAGACGCGCCCTCAGACTCATCACGACGCTTGACAACTTGCAGACGCCCCCCGGACCACGCGGCCCCCACCGCGACCCCCACCGCGGCCCCAGTCTCTAAGTACCGCGACACTTCCCATACAACAACACGTGTAAAGCCGCCAGTAAAGGTAGAGACACACCGAGTACACTCGTGAGGCGCCTTGAGTTTTGTTTGAGAGAGCCTCAAAGAAAGCCATACGATCCGTTTCTACACATTACGGCCTCACTGGCATCACATGTCCACCGACAATGATAGTGACAGTGTCGGTCAACGCTCGTGGCACGATATGGAACTAACACACGAGACGTCCCCTCGCGGACCCCTCTGTGAGTCCATTAGTGGAATCGATTAATTCAGGACATTGAATGTTAAAATGCAATTTATCCATCGCCGAGTCCGTGCACAGCCGGACTGAAGCGAGCAGAAGATGAGATTGAACCTCAGAATGTAATCGTTAGAGGACCCGCCTTTAAAACGCGGCGCCGTCTGTCAGTTTATGTATGAAATTGATCAATCTGCGCCCGGAAATGCTGATGACCACGAGCGACTTGCTGAAGGCAACGAAAAGGACTACTCTGCACACGAGGAGGACGTAGCACTGAACTCGGTGTGTCCCTACCTTTAGTCACTCATTGTCGGGTAGTTAGAGACCGGCGCGCGGGGCCGGGCGGGGCGGGGCCGGCCTCGTTGTACGCACGCAGCGGATCTTAAACAAACTATTGTATAATTTAAAGTAATTATAAGCGAAGTGTTGGGGGCGTCTGGTGGCGGCGAGGTGGGGAGGTGGCGGCGCGACCACCGGCACAGCATTTACTAAGATATACGTCTATTTAAATCAAACAATGTCACTAACGCGGTATCGTGGCGGACCCCCGCCGCACAGCAGGGGGGTCGGGGGGGGACCCGCTAGTGTACAGGCTGCATCGATGATAAGCGCCAACCTAACAATATTTCGCGCAGCGGTTGCAATGAATTTATACATTTTGTTAATAATTTTTTTTTGTCATTTAAATTTAAATTATACTTGTTAATAAAATCAATTAAAATAAAATGTGTGACTTTTACGTTTTTATTTTCCTTTAATCTAAGTTGTGAAGGATCCTGACGGGACCGCGCAGTAGTGGCTGCAGCGTGTGGCAGAGAACCACCAGGAAAGGCTTATGCCAGCCATAAAGCAATGTAAGGAGTCTGAAATATTCGCTTAAGAAGTGTGTTGTCTTTGCCAAATCCGCTCGACACTGACCGGCGGCTAGTGCAGCGCACATTGCGTCCCCTCGGCCGCGGGGAGCGCGGGGGGTTGGGGGGGGAGTAGATAACGACACCTCGTCTCTTGGTTCAACGAACTCTAGCCAATGCACGAGTCACTCCGCTCACTTTGATAGCTTACAGATTAGTTTAGTCTATAGATAACTGATTTGAAGTGGAGTCTGTGAGTCTAGGTCACCACCATAGAAAGGTTGTCCATATGGCGTGGGCGCGTGACATCGACGGGTGCGAGGTAGACGTCTCTGGGTGTCTAGCGGGCTCCCCCTGGCACCATGCGTTACAGACACGACTCATTGTCGATGACGAGACCGTGGCCGCGGCGCCCGAATTATAGTACATTATGTCGAAGAGAAATGTGTTTTTATGCATTCGTTCTCTGAATTTCTTTAGTGACACAATGGCTACTCCTTTGTTTTGTATCAAAACGGCAGAATTTATTCAAAATAATATTTGCACGTGTGCAAATTTTTCACTGAAACAAGAATAGATCCCGAAAAGTTACAAAGTGTTAATTTCTGCCGTTCTCGTTAACTCGCTGCGGCGATATGTGGTGTGAGTGTTCGATTAGTGATTTTTTCTTTAATTTTTATCACTAAACCACAAAATGACAAAACTAAATACACTATCGATAACGCTTATCGACAACAATAATGCGCATCACTATGCCCGTCCATAAGGTTCGTGAGTGGAAGAGAGAGGGAAATATTCGCTTCACCGCTCCGACTTTTTATGACCCAAACTGCACGGACAAAATAATTCTATTATAGTTTAAGTAATAAAACGAGTGTCTGTATCGCTAAAACCTCTGTCGCTTGAGGCTCGGCAGCGCGTCGCTCCACACTGACGAGAGGTTGTCTTGTTGCAGGTTACACGGCCGCGGTGAGTACTCACACCCTCGTACTGTAGCAGGCTCGTCGGCAGACGCCGGTAGCACCCTCCCAGCGCTCTAGTGAGCAGTGACGGTCCTTGTGAGGAAGAGACCTCAACCTCGCGTCTCAAGGCTCTCTCAGGGCGACGCTCACGTGCTCACAAACACATTTATTTATTTAAAAACTACTGCCACATCACAAATATTTAACATTGAAAATAACTTTTAATTTCCGGCCTGATGCATGTGACAATAATGGCGTACATAACATTGGCGATTCATCGGCTCGAATACGGAATACAACAATAACATTATAAAAAAGAGAATATACAATGAAAATACACTTGGAGATTCAAATTTAACAAGCAAAACAGTAATAATTGTTGTAATATTAATACAAATATCTAATAAAAAATAAAATAACAAAAAATAAAAGAAGAAATGTCAATATAATATCAAGCAACAACAAGTCAGTTATAGAACAACAAATGATAACGGTTAAAGTATATGGTGCGTTTTTGATGTGAAATATCTATAGCCGCACATAAAACCGATTTCTGGCGTGGCGACGCATGCCGCGGCGACGCGTCGCCATGCGCAATCGACTGTGCGATTCTCTCCCACTCGATCCGGCGTTAAGCTATCTCTCTCGCTACACTGAGCTCGGATACCTATAGTGTATACTCCGTAGTGTATACAGTGTTGTTTACTACAGTACACATAACCTGTGTTTTATTTGAAAACTAATTATTTTTTCGTAATATTTTATTTTATCATTATGACATATTTAGTTCCTATCACAATCTGTTCTTTTCTGTATATTACTTTTACAAAACAATGTCGATGTTTGACATCTGCCAGGCGTCCCGTGACGGCTCACATTTTTTCTTTCTTTTCTTATTATTTACCGTTAAACACACGTGACACTCATCAATTATACTACGGAGAAGTGCTTGCCGTCCCAAATTAGACAGGTAATTTACAGGTGGGGTGTAGAAAATATATTTGAATTTCCCGCGAGGATAGGTAACACATAACACATCGCCTCTCCGTGTGACAGGCGTACGAGAGTCCGACAGCGGCGTACGGGCAGACGGTGCAGGGGGGAGGGCGGCGCGGGCTGGGGACGGGGGGCGCGGTGGCGCTGGGGGCGGGCGCGCTGGCCGCGGGGGGGCTGGCGGGGTACGCGCTCGCGGGCGGCTTCTCCAGCGACAGCGCCGCCGACGACGAGGTACGTACGGGGGGCTGCGGGGTGGGTTGGGGGCGGGGTGTCGTGCGGCGACTGACCTCGCCCGTTGCTTCGTGGTGCAGGTGAGCGCGATGGCGGAGTCGGTCGAGTTCGGCGGCGACGACTGGGCGGAATGAAACAGGGCCCGCCTGCTCCTGCCGCTGCTGAGGTTCGCCTTCCTCCTGCTCGCGGTCAGGGCCCTGCTCGTGCTCGCGCAGGTACTCTACTGGTTCTACAACTTCGAGTAGACATGAGGTCGGACCGCAGCACGTTGAGCAAGCCGTGAGCACTCGTGAGCATATAAAATGTTATTTATGTACAAAGCGATCCTTGAGCGATGCGAAGACACAGTACGAGCTGTATCTCGAATCTACGCCGCATTACTGCAGCACTGAGCTACGTTCTTAGTATACATCCGACCTCATGTCTCTTAAAGCTATATATTAAAATGAATATAAATTTAATTGTATCGTGTAATAGTAGGTATATATAAATGTATATATATGGTAGTGGATTTAATGTTTAGTAATGTTCTGTGTCGTCGCTGTGTGAGCTCTTCATTCGCGAGACGGGGGTGCGGGGGGTCGCGAGCGGGGAGGGGGGCCGCGTCGTCTCACATTAAGATATAAAGTCGTGGTGCATTCGAAGTGTACCCGAAGTCGAAAAGACGGATAATGTTCCATCCTGTGTCTTAGTCGAAAACAATATTTGTCTGTAAACTTATAAACGCAATTAAGTTTTATTTTATAACCTTAAAAGGTCGTAAGTCGTATTGTTGACGTCACACACACAGGGGGGGGGGGCACGAGTGAGAGGGGGGAGGGGGGGTCACACTTTTCTGTACCACGTATCGGTTGAATGAGTAGTGTACGCCAGCTGAACCTCTTCGATGTGAGGACGGCTGGCACTGGTTGTGGCTGCGGAAGTAACACTCCCTCCCCCCCCACTCCCCTGCCCTTCCGGACCCTAGGAATGTATATATCGGCATACTCACATTTCCCTCGCCTTTTCTCTGAGAGCTTCAACACGTGTGACTCACTTATCTCACAATAATGCTCACGGGCGCTCACGGCTTACCTGTTATCTATAGGTGTCTTTATATGCCCAGCAGCTAATATTGAATAGTTTTAAGTATCAATTTCTGCTAACAGTCCAGAGCTATGTAGTACAGTGTATAGTGTGGGGGGCGTCGCGTCGGCTTGCAATTGTATTGAATACAGGGATGGCACACGACGTGCATCGGTAGTGAAGTGTTACGTCAGCCCGCAGTGGACGCGCACAAACATTGCGGGGCGTTGACCCCGGGAGCGACCCCCCAACCCCCCGCGGGGGGGACCCGCACGCTATTGAGCACTATACAAATATTATGTATGATAGTTTGTAAATGTTTCAAAAATGTTTATTTCGCAAATTACTCTTGAAGGTAGATGATTACGTACCAACACCAAGTGTTTTAATATTGTGCCTAACGTTTGGATAAATATAATTTCTAAAATATTATAATACATGTGTGTATGTATATATTATTTATTTACCTGCCATGTGTATAACTAGCCTTGAACGAAGCGCTCTTCCACTGTTCCACCACATTCTAACTAAGAGTAAGTACTAACGCTTCGTAACATGAGGCTAGGAAAGTGAGGAGAGTGCTTAGTTGAAGGACATTCCGCAGCAGTGACGTACGCGCGTGTCGGTCTATAGTGTAAGTGTAATAAATTATTTAGACGTTGACTTGGCTTTTATTACCGAACTCTCCTATTTGCGGTTGCTACAACCGAACGCACACCCCTGTAGTCCACGGACAATACACGGTTCTCGCTGACGGCGGTAGTGCGAGGTCCGTGGCAACTAGGCAGACGTCCAATAAAACGATTGAATGCTCTGCAAAATCTTTATTGAACTCGAAGCAATTTAACAACTATATAAAATAAAATAAATATATTTGTGAGTGGAAGTACTCTGGGCTGGTTCGCGTGTGTGTGAGTGCCAGTAGGAACACGGTGAGGGTCCACTGCACTCTGCAGCCGCCGCCCCTTGCTCAGTACTCGTCGTGGAAGGGGTAGTCGGGGTGGTGCGTGCTGCAAACATATTGCACTATGATGACGACGCAGGGACTGCACGCGTTCCTAGCCCTGAGCTCCGTATAGTGTACGAACAGTATAGGGCGCTGCAGGCCTAAAGGGGGGCGGTAGGAGACCCAGAAAAAAAATAGGGGTCTTGTGTAGTTAGTTGCTTAGAAGGCGATTTGTAATTTCATCTAGGAGGACTCTTAGACACCGACTGAGCTCTCGCTGTTATGGTTTTTCAATAGGTGAAAAAATGGGGGCGCTACAAAATAAGTTTGGGAAGCCCTGGTATAGGCCTAAGCAGACCAGGACGGCATGGCAAGGGATTTGGCCGCCAGTCAGCGCACATTAGCCGCATAGATACCGGGGCATTCCAGCGCCTCTGCAGCTCCTGCGGCCCGATACACTTTTAGTCTCCAATTGCGTTTGGGCCCTGCCCATTTCTGCCGTGGAGCAGTAATGCATTTCGGTTTGAAAGGTAGGGTAGCTGTTGTAACTATACTGAGACCTTAGAACTTAAATCTCAAGGTGGGTGGTGCATTTACATTGTAGATGTCTATGGGCTCCAGTAACTACTAAACACTAGGTGGACTGTGAGCTCGTCCATTAATCTAAGTCAATAAAAAAAAGACCTCAACTCAATTATTGACCACCAGGTTTCACGTAACAGTGGGAATTACCATTCTACTTATTACCGCTCATTACTCATCACGTGAACGCCGTGAGCTCCTCGGCTAGAAGACGCGTGTACTCACTCTCCCATAGTGCAGAGTCTCCCGTTACATTCCAGAGCAGATATCTGCTTGATGTCCTCGAGGGTCAGCTGGAAATCGAACACGTTGAAGTTCTCTTGTATCCTGCTCCTCGTCACGGACTTGGGGATCACGATCATGCCGCGATCGATGGCGTACCTGTAGACAAACGTATGGCTTAGATAGGTGGACGAGCTCACAGCCCACCTGGTGTTAAGTGGTTACTGGAGCCTATAGACATCCACAACGTAAATGCGCCACCCACCTTGGGATATAAGTTCTAAGGTCTCGAGTATAGTTACAGCGGCTGCCCCACCCTTCAAACCGAAACGCATTACTGCTTCACGGCAGAAATAGGCGGGGTGGTGGTACCTACCCGCGCGGACTCACAAGAGGTCCTTCCACCAGTAATTACGCAAATTATAATTTTTCGGGTTTCATTTTTATTACACGATGTTATTCCTTTACCGTGGAAGTCAATCGTGAACATTTGTTGAGTACGTATTTCATTAGAAAAATTGGTACCCGCCTGAGATTCGAACACTGGTGCATTGCTCAACACGGATGCACCGGACGTCTTATCCGTTAGGCCACGACGACTTCAAAACCTCCCTCTGTCTATCCCTCTGCGAGGCATTCACCTGATCAGGATCTGCGCAGTGGTCTTGGAGTGTTTGTCTGCGAGAGCGAGTAGCCTGGGGTCCTGTAGTAGCTGGGGGGCGGTGGGGGCGGCGCCGGGGCGGTCGGGGGAGCCCAGCGGGGAGTAGGCCGTCACCGCGATGTCGCGACTCTTGCAGAACTCGAACAGCTTCTCCTGGTTCAGGTAGGGGTGCACTTCGATCTGCGGGTGAGGAGAGCTACGTGAAGGAGGCCGCGGAGCACAGTCTGGTGGTAACCATGTCCGCGGAGGAATGAAGTTCGTGGAATAAAATGAAACGTACCACTGAATATGATAACCTAAGGGTATAATTTATACATATAAATAAAATTGGAGTGTCTGTTTGTAAATAACCGCTTTTTACTACATGCATAATATGAATATATATACGGTACATACACCAAAATATCATTTTTTATAATTTTTGTGTCTTTTTGTTCCGGCTAATCTCTGGAACGACTGGACCGATTTTGACGGGACTTTCACTGATAAGTACCTAACTGATGATATAAGGAGTAACTTAGGCTACTTTTCTTAGACTAGCTCCGCCCCGCGGCTTCACCCGCGGTACAAAAATACCTGCGGGTAATATCGCGGGACTCAACTATCAATAATAAAATTTCATGTTTCCGAAATCGAGTCGCTAGTCGTGTAATAAAAATCAAACTAAGATTACGCAACATTTATCTTTGTAATTTAAGGTCCGTTTTATTTGGTACTGGCGACCCGCCCTCGCTTCGCTTCGGAAACTGTAATTTATTATTGATTTCTCCACTATTTAATGGATGTTATTATACATATAAACCTTCCTCTTCAATCACTCTATCTATTAAAAAAAAACGCATCAAAATCCGTTGCGTAGATTTAAATATTTAAGCATACATAGGGACAGACAGATATAGGGACAGAGAAAGCGACTTTGTTTTATACTATGTGTAGTGTATTCTAATCGTCACGACGATTAGAATTTAATTCCTTTACTCATCTAACGAAATTGGGTAATTTACCTGGAGGACAGCCGGCTTGATCTTGGCCACTTCCAGTACTCTCTCAATCTGGCGCCGGTTGAAGTTGGAGAGTCCTATGCTGCGGGTGAGGCCCTTCTCCACCAGCGCCTCGAGCGCCCCCCACGTGTCCACGTAGTCCACCGCCGACGGGATGAACTTGTCCTCGGAGTCCTTCGGGAACAGGTCGTCGCCCTCCTAGATGTTTAATTTGTATAGTAATACTAGCTGACCCGGCAAACATTGTTTTGCCACATATAAGATTTCTAGGGAATTTCTAGTGTAGAAAAAAAAACTAATTTATTGTAAGTGTGTAAGGATGTGGTAAATGAGTGAAAGGGGCATGTAGCGCTGTGAACGATGAGGGAATATATAATAAAAATAACAAAACCTCATTCAACCACATAATACCTCAATATAACAAAAAAAAAGTCCAAATAAAAAAAAAATGTTAGTGGTAGACAACCCTAATCACTTAGGGGTATGAAAAATAGATAGTAGCCGATTCTCAGGCTTACTGAATATGCATAAAAATTTTCATGAGAATCGGTCAAGCCGTTTCGGAGGAGTATGGCAACGAAAACTGTGACACGAGAATTTTATATATTAGATGTAGCTTCATCTATATCTATACCTATATATAAAAATGAATTGCTGTTCGTTAGTCTCGCTAAAACTCGAGAGCAGCTGGACCGATTTGGCAAATTTTGGTCTTGAATTATTTGTGGAAGTCCAGAGAAGGTTTAAAAGGTAGATTTTATTTTTCCTTTGATGTGTCTCCCGTCGGACGGATTCTTTTTGTTTGTTTTAAGTTTATTTTATATAAAAGTTAAGGTGTTTTATTTATCAATTGAGGCACTACGAAGTCTGCCGGGTCAGCTATATACAATAAAATCAATAAGCTGATCAATATATACCCCATGACACAGACCCAATGCAAATTGTCTTCACGACCTAGACTACGAGCAAACAGAGAACTTGCTCCGGACTGTGAAGTGAACTGCTTTTTGATTTCTGAGCCCAATTAAATCACTCACACCTATGTATGTACACACACATCGATGCACACACACACCACACGCATATTGACCTACTTAAATGATAACACCTGATGATCTCTCAACGCTAGTCCGCGATACCTGTTCACGACATAACCTAATCTATCTTAAGAGAAAGGAGTCTGGATATCAGTAATAAAGGTCTTTGAACCTAGTACAGAGTTCAGCTCTTTCAAAGGCTAACAAAATAAATTATAAGGTTAATATCTATTTATATTTGTACTATATCTTTAGGAGAGAAATAAATTATTGTTATTAAATTATTATTATTATTATTTTACCAATTAGGACACAGTAACTATGCACCTGGGATATTTTTCTTTGAAACAAGTTCTCTCGAAGTGATTGTGGTTACAATATCACCATCCAGAACTGTCTACCGCCAGGTATCCATGGAATCTAATTTGAATGGTCGTACAGCCACTGTACCAATGTGATGTGATATCAGTCATCGGCTGAGGGGTGACGCTTACGCGAACAATTATCTACTCAGACAGCCCACAACGACTCGAGTGCTTACCTTGAAGGCCTGGGGCCAGTGTATCAGATAGAGATCCAAGTACTCCAAACCCAGGTTCTTTAACGAGGTCTTGATAGCTTCCTCCACGAGATCAGGGCGGTGGAACGTGCACCATAACTTGGACGTTATGAAGATATCCTCTCTGTGGGATAAACAAACAACGCCAGTATTCAATATTGTTTTGCAGCGATCAGGAGTGTCCCTTTTGAGTTTGGGAATAAATAGTTCCCTCTCCCTGTCCGAAGGGACGGAGTTTAATTGGCAGAGTGGCCCGTTGATCCTCACGGAGGGCCAGGCTCCAGCGCGCTACACCGCGGCCGAGGTGTTGCCTCTGTTGCGCAATGCATCATCGGAGCAGTAGACGGGATGGGATGACAGTTACTTGTACAATGGTGATAGACCCACTGTCTCGATTTGCAGGGTGTATGTGATCGGTTTGAAGGGTGGGGCAACCGTTGTAACTGTACTGAGACCTTAGACTTTACTGGTGGTAGGACCTCTTGTGAGTCCGCACGGGTAGGTACCACCGCCCCGCCTATTTCTGCCGTGAAGCAGTAATGCGTTTCGGTTTGAAGGGTGGGGCAGCCGTTGTGACTATACTGAGACCTTAGAACTATATCTCAAGGTGTGTGGCGCATTTACGTAGTAGATGTCTATGGGCTCCAGTAACCACTTAACACCAGGTGGGCTGTGAGCTCGTCCACACATCTAAGCAATAAAAAAAAAAAAAAAAAAAAAATTAGAACTTATATGTCAAGGTGGGTGTTGCATCTACGTCGTAGATGTCTATGGACTCCAGAAACCACTTAAAACCAGGTGGGCTGTGAGCTCGTCCATCCATCTAAGCAATATATAAAAATGGACAACACTAACCACTCAACAGCAGTGGGCCCATCCAAGCAATAGTTGGCTTAAATAACCAATAAATCGTACCTTTTGATTGTTCCTTCTTCAAACTTGGCTCTCAAGGCGTCCCCCACCTCCTTCTCATTGAGGTAGATGTGGGCGCAGTCCACGTGCCGGTAGCCGATGTCGATCGCGTCTTTGACTGCTTGAGTCACCTCTCCCGGCTTAGACTGGAGAAGACATCGCGCTTTATCAGTTACTTGTTGACATCCGAGAGAAAGGTGATACTTATCTTACCGCCCACGGACATCGGCAATACCAGGGACACAGCAAAACCACCTACCTACCAACCGCTATGAAATCCTGTAAGCCTCATTTTAAGAAACATGTCGCAGTCAACTTTGGTTTGTTGTGACAATTGAATAACGATACATTTGAGAGCAGCCTCGTGTCTCAAAGTGGGTGACGACATTCGCGTTGTGATACCCGCCCTGAGTCCCGGTGATCACAGCAATAACAATGCTTATTGATTTAACAAGCTGACATTACGTAGTGAGCGGGCGGGCAGCCACAGCCGAGCGTAGACTCCACGAGCTAATAGTTATAATAGTTATATTTAATACTAACGGCCCGCTCCGGCTCCGCTCGGAACATTTCAACGATATTTGAAGTTGTTTTATTTTTTAAATAAAAGAACGCTTATTGTGGCATAACTATATGATAATGTGTTCTACAAATTCGTAGTACATTATTTTATTCTATCATCAATAGTTTTAGCATGGCACGCGATGTAAAGAATATCTTAGGTAATTTTTTTACAACTTTGGTTATATTATTGAAATTTTAGTAAGGATCCCTAATTATTTCAAAAAAGATGTCACTCGCGAATAGTGTAGCTTCCAAAGAGTGAAAGAATTTTTCAAATCGGTTCAGTAGTTTCGGAGCCTATTCAATACAAATAAACAAATCTTTCCTTTTTATAATATTAGTATAGATATAGAGGTATAGATTAGTATAGATATATTCACTACATTAGGTAGGTACTTAAATAACCATCAAATATCAATTATTACTAGTGGTCCCGCAATAGTCGAAATTCGACTATAATGAAAATTATAAGTTTGTACTTCTATAATAAAAAATTTCGCCAAGACTACCCTTTAGGTAAATATTAATAAAGACAAACAATATTTAATCTATTCTCAATTTGACAACAGACGTCAAGAACAAAAGTTTGACAATAAATAGTATGCATGCGTGTGTGCGTCAAATACATGGTAGTGTGTGTAATGTTTTCTTTATTGATTCATTGTATTATTAATGCATAATTAAAAACAATTTTAACATTCTGCACTCATTCTCTATATTCTCTATAAGTGTGGAAAATTTCATACTCCTCCGTACGCGCAATTTTCGTAATAAAGGGGTACAAAGTTTTTGCTTCACGTATTAATATATAGATAGATTCCAGCGCGCATGATGAGATGTTTACAACTCTGCTTGTTTAAATCAAATCTATCTTTCGTCTTCGTCGTCTCTAGGTGAACAAAACGAGAGGAGAGACACGCTCCGGCCTTGTCTAGTGTTTGACATCAACGTTCAAATCAAAACAATGAAAAATTAACACGTTACATAAACTGTGTTTGAGGGCAGAACCGACGCCGCGGACTTGCGTAATGCTTATGTACACACAGCGTTACCTTATCTATACTAATATTATAAAGAGGAGACATTTGTTTGTTTGTTTGTATTGAATAGGCTCCGAAACTACTGAACTGATTTGAAAAATTCTCTCACTGTTTGGAAGCTACACTATTCGCGAGTGACATAGGCTTCTTTTTTGAAAATATAGGGATCTTTACTAAAACTCCAATAATGTAACCCAATGTGTAAAATAATTAACTAAAATATTCTTTAAATCGCGTGCCCTGCGAAAACTATTGATGATAGAATAAAATAATGTACCACCTACGACTTTGTAGAACACATTATTAATTACAAAAAGTGTCGCGACAGCACATATCTAACTAGCAACCCGCCCTCGCTTCGCTTCGGAAACATTAAAACACACATGAAACAAAAAAAAAAAAATAAAAAAAAAATAAAAAAAAGTAGCCTATGTTCATCAGGGACAATGTCGGCTTCTAATGGAAAAAGAATTTTTCAAATCGGTCCAGTAGTTTCGGAGCCTATTCGAAACAAACAAACAAACAAATCTTTCCTCTTTATAATATTAGTATAGATATAGACTATTACACTTATAGTTATGTCGCAGTAAGTGTTCTTTTATTTAAGGAACTAAAACAACCTCAAAATTAAATATCGTTGAAATTTTTGTTAAAGACCCGAGCGGAGCCGGAGCGGGCCGCTAGTACCTAATATGTAAAAAGGATCTCTGTAGACGCACTGTGGATGAACGCAGTGGCTCCAGGTAGTATGGATGAACTCTACTCCGGTGGCGGGCGGTGCGATGGTAGAAACGAGATGATGGAATCATCTCAACAAACAATTCCTCAGAGCACTCCTCATGGAATATACGGTAAAAAATGCGGAGAACAGCGAAGTCTTCCCGCAGAGTCAGAGCTTCCGAACGATGCGTGAGAATGGGATTATCGACAATCCGAAGGGCCCGGCTATGGAATGAGCTCCCCTCCACGGTGTTCCCAGAACGCTATGACATGTCCCTCTTCAAACGAGGCTTGCGGAGAGTACATAACGGTAAGCAGCGGTTTGGCTCTGCCCCTGGCATTGCTGAAGTCCATGGGCGACGGTAACCACTCACCATCAGGTGGGCCGTGTATTTGTCTGCCTCAAGAGCTATAAAAATAATTAACAAGGTAGTTTTAACTTAAATTTAAAATTTGCCACTAGTATATATAAATCGATAAAAAATGGTAGCTTGGGTACCGATCAGTGTTGCGAATGGAATGTTCAATTGTGGTATTATACATTATATTATCGTTAGGTCTCCACATGTGTGTCATGTGAGGGAGAGTGGCGCTGCGAGTTGAGGAGTTACCAGCAGCAGTTTTCACTGGTGGTAGGCCCTCTTGTGAGTCCGCGTGGGTAGGTACCAGCACCCTGCCTATTTCTGCCGTGAAGCAGTAATGCGTTTCGGTTCGAAGGGTGGGGCAGCCCTTGTAACGATACTGAGACCTTAGAACTTATATCTCAAGGTGGGTGGCGCATTTCCGTTGTAAATGTCTATGGGCTCCAGTAACCACTTAACACCAGGTGGGCTGTAAGACCGTCTACCCATCTAAGCAATAAAAAATAAAAAAAATAAGCAAAAAAAAAAGAGCACGTGACCGTGCAGAGACCTGGGGGCGAGGAGTGCGGGGAGGGGGGTCCGTACCGACGCGACGGAGATGCACGCAGCCTCAACCCGACCCAACTAACTACCACAATTTACACTAACGTTTATGTAAATATAAAAAAAAAAACAAAAAACATGAGAATTAATTCGACAGTCTGTGTGTTCGTTACCAGATTGCGCAAAACTGAATGAATGGATTTGAATGAAATTTCGCACAAAGATAGTTTATAACATAAGACTACCGCCCCGCCACACGTCGCGTCGCGTCGTCCTGCACAGTACTGCACACACGCTGTACAGCGGACGGAACTGTGAACCTAAACCAGGCTCAAATTCACACCAACACACACACAAAAATCATCAAAATCGGTTCGGCAGTTTCGCAGAAGAATTAAATATCTATATTAAGATTAACACATGGTTTTATGATGGTAAAAGACGCGACCCGGACAAGACCGGGTATATCTGCGACACGACGGAGTGTGCCTGGTCTGCAAATCGACCGGCAGTCTGGACCAGAGGCTGCTCACGAGCCACTCTGTCCCGGGAAAAATAATGACGTTCCATTCTTTCTTAATTAAAGAGATACGTGGCCGTAACCGTTTGGTTATTAATTAGAAATGATCCTTCTTCACGAGTATAGATGTACGGTAACAATAATGATCTTAAACAAAATAATAAAAGGGTAAACGTAATAAAAAGGTATGTTTAAGTAATATCACTATCACACTACACCTACCAAGGTTCATCTCTGCACTCTCCTGAGGTAGACTGTCAGAGAATGCCTATGGCATTAAGTCCGCCTTTGTACTGTCTAGTATATAAAGTTATAAATAAATAAATAAATAAACGTCACTCATATCGTGTCCTGTGTAGGATGATCGCTTAATGTGGTGCGGTGCATACAGCAAGTTTCGTGTTAACACCCACATTAATATTAAAGTTATTTAATTCTACCCGCGCGGCAATAAATAAACAAAATCTTTGCTCAACGGTTTTTAAGGAATAACTAACTGCTTTATATTCGAGTGCAGACAGAACCGTAGCCGACTCACCTTCCAAGTTCCTAGTCCGATGACGGGACACGTGCGTCCGTTGTTGAATATGACTGGGACTGGTGCGGCCATGCTTGATGCTTGATGCTTGCTGCTCGATGCTCGATGCGATCAGTGCGACGGTCGCCGATCAACTGAACGCATTAGGAGGGAAACGATGTTGTTATAACACGATCCTTGCACGCGCTAAAGGTACTGTTTCACTATTGCGATTTACGCGGTCGTGGACCACAAATTTATCACTATTTCGGTCTCATTATATTTTATTGCAGTAAAAAAAGTCTTCAGCATAGCATAGAGTATGGCCTTGATGGCGAGTGAGCACGGTTGCCCCTGACCGTGACTACATTCAAGAAAACAACTAAACTGTTGCTTATTGTCTCTAACAATTGAAAATTAGACCTCAAGTCCCAAGAGTGGCAGCGGCCACGTAGTCCTATCTATGACCTCCGCTAGCCTCTTAACTACAGATGGCCTGTGAGCTCTTCCAAGAGATTAATAGAAGCACCCACTACAAAGTTTTTTTTTTTATTGCCCTTGTAGGCAGACGAGCATACGGCCCACCTGATGGTGTGTGGTTACCGTCGCCCATGGACTTCAGCAATACCAGGGGCAGAGCCAAGTCGCTGCCTACCTACGTCTAAATAAACACTATTCTATTCTCGATTGCAGTAGTGAAAACGTACACTAATCATCGGAATATTCGGACTGTGAATCATTCCAATGGAAAATTATATCCTTGAACAATCAGCCGCCGCGACGCGTGGTCCGGCGCGGGGTGGGGAGGGGGTGGGGGTCCGGGGACTCGCCCCCATCCGAAGCCTGGGTGTTTTGTTGCACTTGAAACATTATTTAAACTCATCAAGTTAAATTCAGACTCGGGTGAGATTCGTCGAAATTTAGAGGAGTACTTACTGTGATAATAATTGATGATCTAATCGATATTCCACTGGAGCGATCTCGTCATCATCTCTTGTGGGCTATCCTCGTCGCATTCCTTCCAATGGCGCGGCGTAACTGAAGTTTTCCAACACTCACTAGTGATTGGTTGTTATGTGAGTCCGCATGGAGAGAGATCCTGTGACTCATCTCGGCGCAAAGAGACTGTTAGTAAATGAACCCTCAGACACAGCCCACTGAATTTCTCGCCGGATCTTCTCAGTGGGTCGCGTTTCCGATCCGGTGGTAGATTCTGCGAAGCACGGCTCTTGCTAGGGTTCGTGTTAGCAGCGTTATCAGGTTTGAGCCCCGTGAGCTCACCTACTAGTTAAGGCGACGCTGATATAGCCTCTCAAGGCTTCAGCTTAGGTAGGGCAAAAAAAAAGTAAAACAATTAATTTCATGATGATATCTTTCCGCGGCATGAGGTTACCGTTTGCGCCACACTCACAGAGTAAACCGGCTCTCTCTCTATGGTCCTCCGTCAGCGGCGCGTCACTCCCGTCACTCGCGTCACTCGCGTCACGCGCGTCGTCACCATGTCACGCAACACTATATTAATTCGACGACTGCACAACGCATACAATGGGTAACTCGGTACGTCTTTAACAAATAGCAGCTCAGTTGCATCTCGCGTGCGCTGCACGAAGACGCCGCCCTTGTAACACCAGGGGGCGGCTGGGGGCTGCGATATTCATGACGCTATTTCTATGGACATCGGATATCACTCAACATCGGACGAGCCGTGTGTTCGTTAAATCATCAAGATCAATGCATAAATCTCGTGTTTACGTCCTCCTTCACCGGACCGGTCAGACTTTGAAAAAGAATCTTAATGACCTGGTTGTTACTAAGGCCTGTACTCAGTGGCGTGCCCACAGGCTGGACGGGCCCGGCACCAGGTCGCGCCGGTGACGCGGGGTCCGCAGCAGCCGACGCCGGCAGGGCGGGGTCTGTCCTGGGATACCACGCCACACCGGCCTCGCAACGTTCAAGTGAATATCTGTATTGTTGTTAAGTTAGTTGGCGGCCGCGCCGACGCACGCCTCAACGTGTGTTCACATTAAATTACTCTTCCCGATATTTGTAACTGATAACGTTACCTGACAGGTCTGTCGTGGACTTTACTAAGGGTCGGCTCACACGCAGACGACAGACCGGTATAGGATGCGCAGAAGTCCATGTTTTCTGGGTCTGTTTGTTTTCTCTGTCTTTCTCTACAAGCACATGTGTACCTAAAGATAAATATGCAATTAGGCATGAGCATTGTGTTGCTCGACAAACTAGCGCACGACCTACACGATGTGAAGTGTCCAGAGCTCATAGACATCACGACGTGTATGCAACCACCCCCTTCGAGACCTGACAAGGTTTAATATTGTCTTGTGTAAGGCCCTGACACCACGACAGAGATAGACAGGACAGCGGTCCCAGCCGGTGCGTAATGCAAACCCTGATTATCTGCTACTCTGACCCGCTTATTTATTTATTCATAGAGGGATACCAATCAACACAACACTCAAACACAGAAATTTCAAATTTCGTCACGTAATTAATTTGTGTGATGTGTGACCACGAGATGCGTGATCCGCAGACGTACACTCGTCACATTACAAATATCCCACAAGTGGCCCGATATTGTCATTCTTGAGCACTCTTAGTCTACGGTCATTTAATAATCATACGGATGATGTCCAGCCGATATAGTACCTCAAGCACCGGTCACGATCCTCGTCGAACCCGTCGCTTGCGACGAAGGGCTCGACGAGCGAATTAACCCTCAGACACAGCTCACTGAGTTTCTCGCCGGATCTTCTCAGTGGGTCACGTTTCCGATCCGGTGGTAGATTCTGCGAAGCACGGCTCTTGCTAGGATCAGTGTTAGCGACACTCCGGTTTGAGCCCCGAGAGCTCACCTACATGTTAGGGCGAAGCTGAAATTGCCTCTCAAGGCTATCAGCATAGGTAGGGAAAAAAAAGCCGAAATACGCATTCGTTGTGATCACATTGCAGGCTGAACAATATCTATCGAACGTAATCAACCCAGAGAGTGAAAACCCGCCACAGCAGCCATATACTCAGCCGATCTCTGGCGGACTCCGGGGCCTGGCCCCTGGACAGCAGCAGCCCGGCACCGCCTCACCTCCGTACGGAAGCCAGAATGTACAAATTGACTTAAATCGCTAATCGTAAAACAAACGTAAAGTCATCATCCACATCAGATGAATAGGTAACGAAAGGGAAGTATTGAAATGCTTCACACAAGGCACACAAGGATAACGTATCGGCTCCGTGACGTGGGACAGCGGCTAACGTGATGATGTTTATATTTTCCATGATATGCAAATGTTTCTATTTAATTATTTGTTTCTTATCCCGCGGGTAGTGGGGGAGATCAGACCTCCTAAACCCTTTCCCTATAATCTATGTCCGTGATTAGGTATACTAATATTTGAAAGACCGTTACCTACGTGTTATGTATTTTTCCAGCCCGCGTACCTTCAAGGTCGAGTGAGTCAACAGCCGAGCGTCCCGCCGCCCTACCAGCAACCAGGTTATAAGGCCAGGCCGGGGAAGATACCTTTTTTTTTTTTCTCTTGCACCCGACGTCCGATCCCTTCCGAGGTCAGAGCCCGGATGAGGTAGGGGGGCTACCGCGGTCAACACTACAACCAGACGGCGCGGCTCACCCCAAGGACGCCCAGCCGACGCAGCCTTCGAGGCGAATCGAAGGCTCTGAATCGTCGGCCGTCTCGGTACGGCAGCCCGTCGGGCCGCCCAGACGGTGCCGCTGGTGTCCCGGAATACCCCGCGTTCGACACATTCTGACATTAATAATGTTGCCGAATCCTAGTAGCAAACAAAAGAAATCTGTCAGAACTGACCTGTTACCGAAGTCCGCGCCGGGTCTGTTTTACAGTCGACGAGTCCGGTCATCATTGTCAGAGCGGTTCAGGTTCTTGCCAGATTTCTTGAGTTTGCCGATCGATTCTTTTACTGACCTCATATACCGCGACCGCAGGTGGGTGCCCCCAGCCCGGGCTGCTCCAGCCGGCGGTGTGCGCGTCATGCTTCGCCTGGCTGACCTCCCTGTGGTCGTGCTTCAACGTGGCAAGCTGTATGAAATCGAACGTCGCCGACCCGGTCAATCCCAATCAGGCTCCCCACAACCCGCCCTCTGCCAGTTCTACTCCCCCCAACCCCCCTCACCCCGGTGCGACCGCCCCGCCTCAGTTGAATGCGAACGCAAATCCGCCCAGTCCTGCAGTCGCCGGCCACACCGACGGGCGCCTCAGTGACGATCCCGAGTCTGTGTCTACGGTCTCCGGGAGCAGTGACATCGATGACGACAGTGGAAGCTATGACGAATGATGCCGTCAATAGAGAAGTCGCGATCGTGATGTACCGACGGACGGGCTCTCACAGGAAATGTTCGAAGGGAGGAGTTTGTGAAGCCATGGCGACGCAATCTCTTAGTGTGGACAGTCATTAGTCCGGAGCTCGCCTGTCGCCTGTCGCCCGTGGACCATGCCGCGGGCCCGACTAGTGTTAGGGCTGGCCACATGCTTCGCTCATCTGACGCTCACGTTAGACAAAGACAGAGCATCATGCCGAGCTGCTCCTTCTAGAAACGACGACGGAACTTGTTCTGTGTCAATTATTCGAACACTCACCATACGCTTCTAATTATATTTATAAGATTTTGATACTTCATATTTGTACCATACATACTATATGTATATTAAATATATAAATATTATGAAAGTTTTATTAAACGCGTAGTAGTTTTTAGTTTATTAATAATAGTCTTAATAAATCCCTCGATTGCAAAGAGTAGAAAACTAAAATTGACTTAAATGTTTTGATGGCTTAAAATACAGCTGAGCTAACTGCCCCCCTGGTGGTAAGTGGTTACCGTCACTCATGGACAACAGCAGCGCCGGGGGCACAGCCAGGCCGCCGCTTACTGCTGTAGCTGACTTCCGCTAGAAAATATTCACGTGATTGTTTCTTGTCACGTTTGTACTGTGTGCGTTCATGAACCACTCATCCGATCGAGATGCAACCCTGAGCACGACTAGGTTCAAACAAACAGTGTTCATGAACGAGGAACAGTTACAACAGAACGAAACAAATAGGCTCTGCAGGGGATGGACAGGGTATCTCGGCGGTCCGAGCTGGAGGCGTGGTCTCGCCGCTTGGCGGATTCGTCGGCCGGCCTCCGTACCGTCGAGGCGGTCCGCCCGGTTCTCGTGGACCGGGTGGGCCGCGACCGCGGATGTCTCACCTTCCGGCTGACACAGATGTTGACCGGCCATGGGTGTTTTGGCCGGTACCTCTTCAAGATAGCCGGAAGGGAACCGACGGCGCAGTGCCACCACTGCGCGGACCGCGACGAGGAAGACACAGCGGAACATACATTGGCGCGTTGCTCTGGGTTCGACGAGCAACGCGCCGCCCTCGTCGCGGTCATAGGAAAAGACCTCTCGCTGCCGCGCGTCGTGGCTACGATGCTCGGCAGCGACGCGTCCTGGAAGGCGATGCTCGACTTCTGCGAGTCCACCATCTCGCAGAAGGAGGAGCGGAGGAGGTGGAGCGAGAGAGGGAGAGCTCTTCCCTTTCCGCACCGATCCGTCGCCGTCGAGCCGGGGGCCGGAAGCGGGAATACGCCCGTACGTCCCGGCCCCTGTAGGTAGCGGCCTCCCCCCGGTGAAGGTCAAGGGGCGACCTGAGGGGGAGAGGCCGCGCGGCGCGCTACCAGCACTCTAGCGCGCTGCCGTGGAGTGAATAGAGCGACCGGTCGACGGTGTATCGCGTCCCGACCCGGCAGGCTGGTTCTGGTCGGGCGGGGTATTCCGGGACACCAGCGGCATAGTCTGGGCGGCCCGACGGGCTGCCGTACCGAGACGGCCGACGTTTCAGAGCCTTCGATTCGCCTCGAAGGCTGCGTCGGCTGGGCGTCCTTGGGGTGAGCCGCGCCGTCTGGTTGTAGTGTTGACCGCGGTAGCCCCCCTACCT